CTTCAGTTAAACTTCTTTAGGTAAGATCTTATTTACTTTTCTTTCTTAATTTTCCTCCCCAAAAGATAAACTAATACTCTTCAATGGTCTATTTCAGTATAGTGGTTCTTATGTAGTTTAACATAGCTATAAATTGAGTTTAACAATTTATAAACTCAAGAGAATAATTTATAAACCCTGTTTTCCAATCTGTCATTTATTATGTAAATTATTTTGGTTGTTTTTTCCCTTTTTTTCCTTCTTTCCCATCCCCTCCCCTTCCATGAAGATTCAGGTGCTTAACATATCATTTTTTTCCCTGCTGGAATTTTAGCATTGATATGAACCGTGGACAAGTATATTCTGCTGCCACAAAGACTGTAAAGTTCTTCATTTCAACAGCTGAGGCAAGCCAAGTGATCATTAATAAAGCTTTTCTTGGTTCCTTCAGTGGTGTTGGTAGTAAAATGGTAGGTAAAAGTTAGGCTGCAAATTCAATACATCATGAAATTACCCATCAACCTTGTGAATTCACGTTTCTTGGATCAAACATTAAGAACGAGCTGAGGGTTTTTATTAAAAGACATTTTTATCTTGTTACTGGATATGGTTGCTCTACCCTTACATGCTGATCAGGATAAAGGAGAAGGAAGGGCAAAATGATAGAAGTGTTCAGATAATTGTTTATACGCTAGAGTGTCTTGAGTACATTTTAATTCCTATGTGCATCCAATACCAAATTGTCGGGCGTACATGTGGTAGCCCTTTCTCTCATACTCTACCCTACCCTATAGGAGAGATACAGGTAGCCATTGGAATTCCATTTTTTAAAATACATTTCAGAGCTTGATTTACCTGGCTTTATTGCCTTTTCAGGAAAGTAGTAGGACATTTCTGTATTCACCAGTGAGTCGTCTTTGATCCTAAGATCACCACTGAAGTTATTTAGGTTCTTTGAACAAACATGATAAACTTCTTCAGATACTTTTTTTTTCCTTTGGCAGGAAGGTGTCTTGCTGCAGGTAACTAATGAAGAAGTGGTCAACCACAGAATCTTCAAGAAATAAGAAATTCTGTACCATCTGAAAGTAGTTCTTGGTGCCTTCATTTAAAAAGCACTTTTTTTATAAGATTGAAGGGAAATGTTTTCTGATAAAATACATATACTTCATTTTAGTACAGGTTCTTACTATAAAACAACTGCAAGTTGAGAATTGTTTGTAAAATAGTGGTATAAAGTCAGTCAGAGAAATGTCATGTTTTAAGTTAGGCTTTGTGAGTAGACATAAAAATTCTATTTTAAATACAAAGTTTATAAAATAAATACTTTTGTATCCAAATACTTGGTGTAATGTTTACACATAGAATGTGTGAATCTTGTTTTATAAATATTCAGTTGTCTAAAAGGTTGCCACCCCTAAATTTTTAAAGCATTTTCACAAATTAAATGCATATTTCCATTTTATTTTCATACTAACAGACAAATGAGAAAAAAACTTGTGGACATTATTGGCTGTCCCTAATAAAATACCGTTCCTTAATCACTGTATATTCAGCGTTTGAATACTGCTATACTTCCTATCAAATGTCAGCTCTACTGCATCACATTTAAGTAAATACCAATTTATTTTTTTCTTTTTAAATTAAGGGTTAAACTTGGTGGTGAAAATCAAAAAACATCACCAGTGAGGTTAAGGGACTTGTTTTTACCACAATTTGTTCAGGTTTCGATGACTTAGTTACCACAAAGGTAAGTCAAAACAAGTAATGGAAATGACAAACCTAAGTGCTAAAGTGTATCGTAAGCTTTTTTTTCTTTCTAAAATAATAGCTGCATTTACACACACAGACAAAATTTACTAGGATACTTTGCTTCATTCATTTGGGGGGGAAATTATTTTGAAGGTTTTCAGAAATACTTGGCTCTAGAATGTAGTTCACCTTTGAAAACAGTAAATCAAGTTGGTGTATAATCTTGCACAGTACCTCAAGACATCCACCCCTATAATGAAGTGCCTAATTGATGACTTTAAGGAAATAATTACAAATGGGGAAATGTATCATGATAAAAATGAAATTTTTAAAAAAATACATGTATATATTAGAACACATTGATTCTCCAATGTTTTACTTTCACTCGTGTATGTGTTATTGTGCTATTTCAACTTAACCTTAGACTCCTGAAAATAAGAAATTTTTCTTAAATTCGACCTCCTTCATTGCATAACAAGTACCTTTAAAAAGAGCAGTTTTAATCACAATCACCTATGTGGTGGTCTTTTCTGGTTCATGATAATCGAGTGTAAAGGGTTTTTTTTATGTGTGGGGCTGGTAAGTTCGTGCTGGATGTCTTAAAAGAAAAAGGTCATTCTGTTTGAGGACTTGGAGGATTATCCAATAGCCAGTTTAAAAGGAGAGTCAAGTAGCTTAAAAAATGGGTATTTGCTTTCAGGGAACTGAAGTACAGTACATGCTAATTTTTGATGTTTCAAACTGTGGCCATAATAAGACCTGTAATTGAGGCAGGAATCCCAAGTGTCCAAATTATATTGCTTAGCACACGTGTGGGGAGTTAAAATACATGATCAAGAATTTTCACCTCATTCATGCTCATATCTGTTACCAAAGGAAATCAAGATTTTAATAGAAACAAGTGATATGTCAAACATGGACTACATGGTAAGGTATTTGCTGTGAATTTCTTGTACTGTTGAGGATTCAAAATGAGATTTGGACGTATTCTAAACTGAAGGAGAAAGGTGCAGGCTAGAAAATGGTTTTTCATTAATGGTGTCCCCCCCCCCCCAACCCCGTGCCAAATGAGCCTATTTTGTATAGTCCCCTATTTGTATATCTGCTTAACTGTACTAATGAGAGTAACTGAAAACTAGATCCAATATGTATGAACACCTAGGTTGAACTTGGATTGGACTAGAACCTAAAGTTTGCTAGCTCCTAAAATGATTTAAAGCATAATAGATAATTGTCCTTCACACTACACCTCTTACATTTATGATAAACCTGCATTTGCTTTGTGTCTGACTAGACACAAAGACTGACTAGGTAGTAAAGTCACTGAATTTTGGCCACTATGCATCAGGTACCTTACAGACTTGAGCAGTCGGCAAAATAAGCAGTACCCAACTTTGTCTTTTTTTGTTGTTGTTGTATATATATAGGCCCACCCCACTCCTCGTACATTTATTTGATGCTCTGCCATATTTCACTGAATATATTTAGTAGTTTGCAATGGGACCAAAAGTAGCAGGTTAAATTAATAATACTCTAATAAGTAAATTCATAGAATTTTACATTGTAGACTTAGGGTGATTTCTGCTGTAATGTGACCTAAAGTGGTAATCTACTCCAGCTGACACTTGGATCAAGTAACCTGTATAATTTGCTAGCAAAATGGGGCTTGTAAAAGAACTGCCTAGGACCAATTTGGGAGCTATGGTAGTGTAATGCCCAAGGCACTACCAGAATGCTGGCGGTTCAAACCCACTACCCACTCCTGGGAAACCCAAGGAAGGGTTGCTATAAGTGGCGTCGACTCAGCAGCACGTTAACAGGACCAATTTAAAATGGGGAAACTATTAAAATCCTAATACTTGAGTAACTTGTGATACTCTGCATTAAAATTCAAGTGCCTCATTCTTCCTGGAAATAAGACTTCACATTTCAAAAATCCCAGAACGGTCATAGATATCTTAAGAAAATTCACTATCTTGCATGCTATTCCAGTTAATTTATTTTAAACATGGTATTTCTAAGATTGCTATCTGGATTTCAAATCTATCTTTTTATGTTTTGTTTTTTTTTAAATCACGTAGTGGCTCTCCTTTTGCACATTCTCAACATTTAAAAGATGGTATTAATTCCAGTTTGCTATTTGATTTGGAGTAAGTCATAACTCCACCAAAACCCTGGTTGTGTGATGCAGAAAGTGTTCAGGTGCAAATTTATAGCTGTTCTGCAGGGGAGGGATGTGGAGTCTGCTTCCTTGAAGATTTATAGCTTTGGAAAGCCTATGGGGGCAGTTCTACCATCTTACAGGCTCACTGAGTAAGGAATTGACTCCATCAGTGGGTTTGGGTTGGTTTGAGAAGGTAAATACCACACACCTACTATGAATCCAAAGTGGCCATTTTTAGAGCCATTATTTCAGACTCGGAATGTCTTGGCTAATAAAAAGCTTTTTGCTATACGCAGGTTGCTCAGTTTTGTGTTACAGGTGGGAGGTTTTGGATCCCACACATTAAAACTTAATAGTATTCTAAAGCTTCCTTTATGTTTTTGGCACTTTAGCTTTAAAGCTGGCCAAGTACTTAGTTTTCTTTCTTCCAGTTAACAGTCCATGTGTAAAGTTCAGGGAGATTTCCCATATCCATTTGGCATACTATTGCTGCTTTATTGGTAGATCCTTTGCTATGTTCCTGAATGTGGGTATCTTAGAGGAAAAACATCCAAGGTAAATTTGCTTATTAGAATTTCTGCAAAAGGGGTGAAGTGTGAATTCAAAAATAAAATTTATTTCCACAGAAAGTTGTAAGTTCATTAAATTTTGAAAAGCTTTCACTTCAGTGCTATGAGACAAATGATAACGTTAAGGCTACTTGCATTTCAAGTCGTAAGAAAAGAATACATCTTAATTCAGATGCAGTGTTTGCCTTTTCTGAAGTGATCATCTTAACTACTAAATATCTACAAAAGTGATTAGTCATACTAGGTTTTCATGTTACTCTATTTGAGTGTATTCTAACTCTTGGCTATATTGCAGTACAAGGATTTAATGAAAAGTGGCTTCCCCAAAATTTCTCAAAACTGCTCTTGAAGTCCTAAACTCTGTCCGTATTAACCTTAAAATATATTCTTAATTGGGTGATTGTAGTAGTATTTGAAGATACAAAACTTTATATTTTATATATAAACTGTCATAAAAGTTAAACTAGTTTCATTGGTTTATGATCCAGGTATCACCATTTTCTCTCACTACTTTATCCATACAGTGGAGTCTGTCTTCAGTTTCTTTCACTTTTTCTTTTTCCCTTTTGGTTTTCCTTTCTGTGGCCTGAGGTCACCAGTTCCTTGGGTACAATCAAAACACTTCCATCATGGCTGCACTGAAGAGCATACTGGTTTGGATTGACTGGCCTACCTTGGTCATCTCTCAACAACCTGAAAACATCATGATAAAGGTCATGCACTTTCTGTTTCATTATGTTAATAGCTTTGTTACATTGGGCTCGTTCTCTCTTAAGAGCTTCCTTCCTTGCTTGCAAGTTACATACATCATCTTCTAGATTCAAAATTACATCTAATTTGCGTTTGCGACAGTTCTGAGCAGCAACTTTATTTTTCCCTCTTCGTCTGATATCACGGATAAGTGATACTTGCAAGTCTGTCAGATAGTACCTGCTTAGCATGCTGTTGAAGGAATCGACAGGCATGCGGACAATTTCATCTACAGAAAATGGAATATGCAGTGCTTTAGCACGCCGTTCATCACGGCTTAAGTTTCTGTCTGCGTCATTGACATACCTACTTACTTTCTGTGACTTCCCAGGCCATGAAAAAGATTCAGAAGTGGATTCTGGTGCAGTTGGATGTAAATGGTAAGTGTGGTTATGAAATACATGTTGAAGTGCAACTTCCTCATGAAAACCAGAATCACTCCTGTGATTCATGTGACAAATAGGTTCTGGGGAGTAGCCTCCCACAGCTCCTTCCAAGTCATGTTGGGAAAAAGATTCTAAGTCAGTATTATAACCTATAGCCCCTTCTTCATACACAGAGTGAGAGGAATCGTGGGTAGTAACAGAGGTGCTACAGTGACTTGAATTTAAGGAAAGTTCAGAATCTAGTTCTTCAAAAAGCTGAGAAACTTCTACTGGATCAAAACCTTCTTCCATGGCCAAAGACATTAAATTTATCTCATCAAGTATGTTTACATCAAGGTCGCACAGAAGGCCTTGGTTTGGTAGATTCCTCATCTGATTGTCAACAAGTGGAACAAACCTGGTCACATTAGTTCCAGGAAGAGTCAGTTCAGTATTGGTGGTAGGAGGATTGAATTGGAAAAATGGTTCTTGTGGCAGTGAAGTCCTTGCTACTGGATCTCTTCTGAATGTATTGTTGGGACACAGCAACATGGCCTCATGGAGACTCACATCTTGGCTGATAGCCTGGCTAAAATTTACACTGTTAGTTGCTAAGGAGTTCAGGCCATCATAGTTACTACTGGAAAGAAGAGGCGTATCTCCCAGTGAGATGCCCTGAAAAAGTGAAGAAAAACGTTTGAACATGGATAGCCCTATTTCAACAGCAGCTCTATCACCTAATCTAACACTTCTTCCTACACTAATATGGATAATGCCCTTGGTTGTACTCACTTTTCCTAATTAAAATACAGGCAATACAATATGTGATGTGAGCTCAAAGGAAAATATGCTAAACTTAGGAAAGTAACTGTTCTTTGAATATCCTGGAGATTTAGGAAACTTGATCAAATGACTATAAATGCTGGTCTCACTTTGCTGTAAGATAGTCCTATTAAATAAATGGTTTGAAGCAAACCAAAACCAAACTCATTGCCCTCAAGTCGGGTCTGACTCATAGCAACCCCTCCTTGGGTTTCCAAGGCGGGATCAGTACGGAAATAGATTGCCCAACCCTTCTTCCAGGGAATGGCTGGTGGATTTGAACCGCCAGCCTTCTGGTTAGCAGTCAGATGCCTTAAGCACTGTGCCACCAGAGCTTCCCAAAATAGTTTGAATAGCTCAATATTGTTAAAATGTCAGTTCTCTCAAAAATTCATCTGTAGATGTATAGAATACTAATGATCTCTTTATTATAGAAATTGAAAATAAAGAGGACTTTTTTATTTTAAAAGTTATTTACAAAGGAGGGTATTTTAGGCATCATGGGCCATAAGATCTCATCTGAGCAAGTCAACTCTAGCATGAAAGCAGTCATAGATAATATGTAAAAGAATGAGTGTGACTCAAAACTTTATTCACAAAAATAGCAGGCCTTACTTTGCACATCCTTGTGCTATGCAACAGTGACGTTTTCCCTTCATCAAAACAGCAAGATTATGAGTTGTTTGGGATAAAATCTATTTATTCTGGTACTTAGAGTCTTTAACTTGAAATTGTTTGCTAGTAAATTACTAACCTATCTGGAACTTCAGTAATGAAGTTCTATTATTTCTCCTGTAGTATTTATTCTGTAGTGACATTTGTCAGGAAGAAGAACAAGCATGGGCACTTAAAATCTAAAAATACTGTCTAAATCTATCAATATCTCATTCTGTAATAAACTATAATGAAGACACAAATGCTGCCAGAAAAATAAAACTTTGCCTTGGTTTGTCAAATATTTACTGCTATTGTGCTTCAATATGGATGGTCTCAATTAGATTGTATACCTTATTTGGAAGAAGGAAAAGCATAAACATTTGTTTAATTCTGAAGTTGACATTTCTGTAAAAGTTAAGCTAAATCTATATGCTTAATGTACTTAATAATATTAAATATTACATAAGTATTCGTCTGTACCTCTGTGTCACCAAAATGAAAGCACTGTATAAATTCAGAGTGATTGGTGCAAATATGTTCCCATAAAGATAATATAATATCAGTGTTCCAGTTACCTCTAGTAAATTTTCAGGCTGTGACGAAAGCAACTGAAATAAATCTTCCAGGCAAAAAATGTCTGTCCCATTTAGTTGTCTCTGGGGAATAACACAATAAGATACATCATTCTTCCAATAAATTATTAATATTTAGCAATAACCAGGTTTTACTTCCATGCTGGATTTTTATTTTTTTCCTCTCAAAAGTTTTACATTGTATTTAAAAAAAAAAAAAGATTATAGCCAAGAAAACCCTATGGGGCAGTTCTGTCACATGGCATCAATGTAAGTTGGAATTGACTTGACAGCACACAACCACCACCATTCAACCCACTAGGAGACTGAGTGATGATTAATGCCTAAGCACTGGATGCTGCCTGTAAAGGTCCTCTGCTCACACTCCTAGATGGCCAACCTGCCTGCTCCTGCATGTAGCAAAGTGAGGATTCCTGGATTTGGGATGCCAGTCATCTCTTACCCTTTTCCATGGCAAACAACAATACCTGCTAGCAGGGTCCTGGAGATACAGATATAGATATATATAATTTGAGTTTTAACTGGAGATAATTCTATGGATTGATTCCTTTGTAAATCAAATAACCACTACCACATTAAAAACAAAAACATGTATTTTCATATAATCAAGATTTGCTTATAGTAGAGCACACTTAACATGCAGAATTCATTCTCAACACAAAATGGTAAAGCCACAGAATCTACATTAAAGCCAAGGAGGCATGACTAGAATATTCCAACATGCTTACCTCATTTCTAGAGTCAGTGGTCTTTTCTGCCTCCCAGTCACGTGTATCTGCTACGTTACTTCCATCTCCATTACTCTGCTGTAGTGATTTCTCCTGAGCTGACACCCTTTGCTCATTTTCCTCATGCTGTGGACTATAATTCACAGCTTCGTGCCTTTCTCTCTGTAACTCAATTTCCTATAGAAGTACCAGAAAAACATGCTAGCTGAAAATCCACATTTCATCAAGTAAGTGAAAGAGCCTTTAAAACTGCATTGTATTTACTGCTCAGCAATTACGAAAACCCGGAAGTCAAAAGCTAAGACAGGAAATTCATTAATTCAATACCAACTGTTTAATTCTGAAACAAAAGGTCAGTTTTATATCCTACTCTGTCAATGAGACATGGGCTATTCTAGTCTGCGTAATTTAGATTATATGCGTTTATAAGGCATCTGAATTTAAAATACTTGCAAATTTGATTAGAATTACACATCAACGTTGCCAGCAGGCAGTTTTTATTTTGTTTTCTGCTGTAAATAGATTACACCACTAAATTGGAAGAAAACACAAAGTTTACATACAAAAATCCAGAAGGTATTACAAATTCAATTTTAGTTCTCTAGAGAGTGAGATAGGTACAGGCAGTGTGGGTACAAAGAGTTGTCTTCCACTTTCTGCACTAGTTTGAATACAACAGTATGTATTCCTTTTACAGTCTTTTGAAAAAAATACCAAAGCTTTAGCATCTCCACAGATATTCCCAACCATGAGAATTTACCCAGATAACTTCTTTTACTTTTTAATTAACTGAGGAGAGAGACTTATGTAATTCAAAGGCTAGGAAAATCTTCTAGACATTCCAATAGTCACTAGCATGCATATACTGATATATTATATGAAAAACTGAACTATCCCCTTCAGCCTTAACATCAAGGCTTGTCACTCTTTCAGAATATCGATTTTTAATTTCTGACTTCGGCAACACTGCACACTGAACTAACTCAAGGACAGCAACACTCCTGCTACTCTAACCACAGAAATGTTAACCTTACCACCACCACCCCCCAAAAAAATAATAAAATGAAAGTCAAAAGAAATGGAAACCTGAAGCCAGAAGCAAGGAGCAAAACCAAAGCAATAGCGGAGAAAGTCAGATGACTTCCTGGTGACCCAACAGGTTTTGTTTCTATTAGACTGTACCTAACTCTGATGCAAGGGCAGCGGTTCACTCAGTGCTAGAATTCTTGGGTGTGGTTTCTGAAACCTGGGAATTTGATTCCCAGCAAATGTACTTTATGTGCATCCACCACCCATCTGTCAGTGGAGGCTGATACACAATGATGCTGAACAGGTTTCAGTACAGCTTCCAGACTAACTGACTAGGAAGGCCCAGTGAGCTCCTGAAAATCAGCCAGTGCAAACCTTTTGGATCACAGTGGTCTATTATAATCCTCAGACCATTAACATGAGAATGGGGGCAAGACTGGGCAGGGTTTCATTCCACTGTCCACGGTGTCACCACACATAGGGGCAGGATGTGACTGGATGACAGCTAACAAGCACAAATATGACACACTTGGCCTTCCCTCATGACAATGTGGATGTCTTGTTCTTAGCTCAATCCATCTCTCCCATTTGTGCACTGGATCCCAGCCCTACTTTTCTATAACTTCCTGCCTGCACCAATTATTTCCTCTTTAATGGATAATTCCACAAGAAGATGGGGCAATCTACTTCCATTAGTGATACTGCCTATGAAAACCAAGGAGGGCTCGCTATGAGTTGGGGCCTACTAATAGTTACCATCTCTCCCTCCCATCTTTAAAATGGTTTCCTGGTTCTGCTTTTCTATTTAGATCCTATCTCACTTTTCTACTCCCCTTTAGAGAAAAATCCTCCAAAGCACCCAAACTCAGTGTATTCTCTCCCTCTTGAATCTATTCCAACAAGGACTCTGTTCCCATCACTCCACTGAGATAACCCTCTCATGATCTTAATCTCACCAAATCCTCCTCTTACCACACCTATCAGCAATATCTGTCTTAGGTTACTCCCTTTTCCTGGAGTTCCCTTCACCTGGCATCCATGTACTCTTTATTCTTCGTCTACCTTGCCAATAACTTCTCTACTGATTATTCATTTTCCCCATCGCTATACATGGCAGTGCCCCAAGGCTCAGTCCTCAGGCATCCCAGGCTCTTGCCTACCTCTTGGCCTTTATGAGCTGTTCCTGCCAGAAGGTTGTCCTCTGCTCTCCCTACCCCACCTCTTTTGTGGCTTTTTTAGGTCTCTATCATTAAAACTCTGGTAGCATAGTGGCTAAGGCACTTGACTGCTAAGCAGAAGGCTGGCGGTTCAAACCCACCAGCCACTCCTCGGAAGGAAGATGGGGCAATCTACTTCCGTTAGTGGTACTGCCTAGGAAACCCAAGGAGGGCTCCCTATGAGTCGGGGCCGACTCGATGGCACATAACAACAACAACAACATTCAAACATCATCATCTCTCCCATCAATATCCATCTTCCTTATCTTGCTTTATTTTTTCCATAGCATTTACCACCCACTGATTTATCACTATTTATTTGTATGCTGTATGTCCCACTAGAATGTTGAATTTCTTGAGGGCAGAGGCTCTGTCTGCTGCATGCACTGCTGTTGCCCACTGCCTACCACGTGACAGACCTTTAATAAATGTGCGTTGAATAGATAACTCCTAGACACCACACCCTAAGACTTTGGTAGGGATCTTACTTCTGATGGGATGAGTAAGCCATAGCCTTGTTCTTTCTTCCAATTACAATGCTGATTCCTACCCACACCTGGGGAAGGTAGATAAAGGTACTTGGTACTTATCTTTTACCAAGGTGAAGTTTCTTTTGTTAAACCTGGAGATAATCCTGGATTCCTAAGGCAGCTAACTTTGTTTACAAATTTGCTTTCTATGGCAGAGGACATGATCTTGCTTAGAGTCATAAAGGAAGATCTGCTGAAGTAATCTGCATTATATGAGTGAATATAACACACATACACATGAACTGGCATACATGAAAATGTTACCTATAACCAAAAAAACCAAACTCAGTGCCGCCAAGTCAGATCTGACCCATAGCGACCCCTCCGTGGGTTTCCAAGGCAGTATCGCTATGGAAGTGGATTGCCCAATCTTCCTTCCAAGGAGTGGCTGGTGAGTGAATTGCCAGCCCTCTGGTTAGCAGTCAAATGCCTTAGGCACTATGCCAGCTCCCATGTTTTACATAAATAAGCAACAGAAGGATCCAAGGAGTTAATGCAAGACAAGATCAAACACACAAATTGGAAGTAAATGTTAACCTGGGAAAGGTTTATTGTAGGGAAAATTTTTAGTATGTAATGAAGTTTGGGGGAATCCCTGGGTGGCCCAAATGGTTAAATGGTTGGACTACTAACCAAAAGACTAGTGGTTCAAACCCATCCAGAGTTACCTTGGAAGCAAGATCTAGTTATCTGCTTCCAAAGGTGTTGGCCTTCAGAACCCTATGGTATAATTCTACTCTGCACACTTGGGGTCACCATGAGTTGGAAATGACTTTATGGCAACTAACAACACAAAAATGAAGTTTGGTAATAAGCAACAACAACAACAACAACAACAAAAACCACCAAACTCACTGTCATCGAGTTGTTTCCAACTCATAGCAACCCCTCCTTGGGTTTCCGTCTGTCTAAAACTTCAGGAAAAGGAGAACTGAATGTATCAGACAAATTATGTATGACCAGAGGAAACATTGCAAGAAGCAGAAATTAAGCTAAAAATCCTATCATATAATGGATCACAACTTAATGAATAAGACAAGAATCAATGAGCACATTCAGATATAAACAAATAAATAAACAAATGAGGGAAAACTGGTCTTTACAGTAGAAAGCAGCTAATAAATATAGAATGATGGATTTAGAAAATAATAAATGTTAAAACTAGGAGTAAAAGTTTGATGAGAAACAAGATATTAAAATAATCTCAAAGTATCATCCCACAGAGTATGTGTTAGGTATAAAGAGAAAACAGTAACACTATAGGAGAAACATGGCAGGCACCATCTTAAAAATAGTCAAATGTAGCATCACAATACTGAGATAAACCAACATCATATGCCTCCTGCTATGATATGGAAAAGGACCCGATACCACATCTGTGGTATTGCTGCCCAAAATTCACAGCCTTAATCCAATCATGCAGAAACATCACACAAATCAAAATTGAGAGTCCTTTCATAAAAAAAAGTAACTGCTTGCCACTCTCCAAAAATCTCAACATCAAGAAATACCATGTCTAGGAACTCTTCAAGAGTTTTAAAATGACTAAAGAGATTGGAGAAGCAAATGCTATTTATGACCCTGGATTCAGATGCTCATGCAAAAGAGGAAAAAAAAAGAAACTATAAAGAACATTATTGAAGTAATAGATAAAATTTAAAAATAGATAGATAAGGGTTACATTAATGCTTGTTGGCAAATTGATTCCAACTCACAGTGACCTATATGACAAGAGAAGAATAGCCCCACAGGGTTTCTTAGGCTGTAAATCATTCTGGAAGCAGAGATGACCAGGTGTTTTCACCTGTGGTGCTGCTGGTGGGTTCAAACTACCAACCTTTCAGTTAGCACCTGAGTACTTAACCAGGGCTCCATTTATATTATTGGTATATTTCCTGATTTTGATAACTGGCTATAGAAATACACATGAAAGTATTTGGGGAGCAAGGGATAAAACAGCTCAGATTCACTCTTAATGTTACAGAACAAAAAGAATGTGTGTGTGTGTGTGTGTGTGTGTGTGAATGAAAGGCAACAGGCTTTGCGAGTCCAAACATGGTCACCCTTTGCTTTCAGCCAGTTCAGTTGTTTGCTAAATCATTCTTATGTAACTTCTGCGGGGGTCGCCAGGTACGTCCAAAGTCCTGGCATGAAGCTGCCATAAAAACTCCTGCTTTCCACCGGGGGAAACAGAGATTTGAACCGGTCCTGCCCGGACCTTCCTCATATGTAAGTTTCCTTAATACACTCCGTTGCTACCATCCTAGAGTTGCCTGCTTCATTCTTTGGTCTCATGGCACCCTCTGTATTTGGAGGCAAATTTTAAGTTACTGGTCCATGCAGTGACAGTACACACAGGCAGTCCTTGACTTCTGACATATTCTAGTTACAATGAACCATA